CACTTTTTACCAAAAATGACAAAAATATTCACCAAAATTAGAGAATTAAAGATATCATTACAAAATGAACAAATCTGAGAGAGGTCCACATGTAGTACCTATATATGTATTATCAAAGCAATTGCACTTGCGGTTTTTAACAAGAAGTCGAAAATATCACTTTTTACCAAAAATGACAAAAATATTCACCAAAATTAGAGAATTGAAGATATCAACATGAAATGAACAAATCTAAGAGAGGTCTACCCAAGGTACATATACACCAAGCATCAAAGCATTCAGGCTTGTAGTTTTCAAGAAGAAGTCGAAAAAGTAAAACATTGACACGGACGACGACGGACAATCACTCATATGATAAGCTCCGCTCGACAAAGTCGACAGCGGAGCTAACAATATGTATAGTATCAAAGCAATGGGACTTGCTGTTGTCAACAAGAATTCAAAAATATCACTTTTAACCAAAAATGACAGAAATATTCACCAAAATTAGAGAATTTGAGATTTTGACATGAAATGAACAAATCTGAGAAAGAACCATCCAAGGTACTTGCATATCAAATTTGAAAAAATTCCAACTTGCAGTTTCGAAGAAGAAGTTGAAATTGTAAAGTTGACGACGACGACGGACAATCAGTAATATGAACAGCTCCCGCTGTGTCGACAGCGAAGCTAAAAAGCTACGATGAATATCACCTGAATGTACACTTATTTAAATAATGGACAAAACAAATTAAAACAAGCCATGCATGGCACAGTCCCAGTTAGTTATCAAATTTGAGATATAAAGTTATGTTTATAGTAATATAGCTGGAATATAACCATGTCAGGAATATGATTTTTTTAACATTAAAATGATTGACATTTGTATCTGATCCTCAAACAAGTACTTGTCCATATTGAGAGATATTGCTCTGGAACAGCATTCAAAATCAGCCATTTTGAATACATGTATATATATATATATATATAACATGATGTATAACGAATATATAAAATTTGAATATAATCAGTCAAAGTATTTTAAGAGATATGGCTCTAGAAGCCCAATCATTAAAACAAAATGGCCGCCAGTCAGCTATTTTGAATCCAATCTGAAAATAAAATGACATGCATCAGGAACCTGCAATGTCTAATGTGTGTTATAAGTTTGAACAAAATCCATCCATAAATGCAAGAAATGCTTGATATTCGAGGATTTTTTTAGCACAAAAATAGCACACTTTGAAAACGATCATCAAACCAATATATCCGTATATCTGTGACATGATGTATAATGAATATTAAAAATTTGAACATAATCAGACAAAACAAGTCAGACATATGGGTCTGGAAACCCATTCATTAAAACAAAATGGCCGCCAGACAGCCATTTTGAATCTGATCTGAAAAATAAAGTGACGTGCATCAGAACCTGTAATGTCTAATGTATGTACCAAGTTTGAACAAAATCCATCCATAAATGCCAGAAATACTTGATATTTAATGATTTTTTAGTACAAAAATGACAACCATTCGGCCATTTTGAATAGGATCGTCAAACTAATATATCTATGACATGATGTATAATGAATATTTAAAATTTGAACATAATCAGTCAAAACAATATATTGGAAATATGGCACGAGAACCACATTGATTAATACAAAATGGCCACCAGTCGGCCATTTTGAATGTTATCTGAAAAACAAAATTATTTGCATCAAGGTCCCATAATGTCTAATGTATATACCAAGTTTGAGCAAAATCCATCTGTAAACAGCCGAGAAATGGTTGCTTTTTATGATTTTTTAGCACAAAAATGGCCGCCATTCGACCATCTTGAATCAGATCGTAAAACAAAATGATGTGCATCAAGGTCCTATAATGTCCAACGTATATATAAATTTTGAACAAAATCCATCTGTAAACAACCGGGAAATGCTCGATTTTGATGATTTTTAGCACAAAAATGGCCGCCATTTTTTACTACATGCTTTGTTCAAAGTTGTATATTAGGATTGAAATAAATAGAAACCATACAACTGATTATAACTACAGTAATTTGATGTCATGATGAAATCTGGAAATTTGATTGAAGTTATTGTGGCTTCTTGTCTTGTAAACCCCAGTAAATAGCACACTGCTACGAAATTCTGGATATTTTTTATTGAATTCACTAAAATATGCGAGTTACAGTCCTTGGCAAGCAATATACACAGGTAATAAAATGGTTGACTATTTCACAACCAAATGACAGTAAAGAATCATGTTCCCAAATTTAGCCCGACAGTAGATTATGTAACTGGTGAAAATTACAAATGGGTGACAATGAAATAATCAAAGAAAGCTTAGAAAGAACTCCCATGTGCTGAGAGTATTGGAGACACATTAAATATAATTCGAAATTACTTAGCTGAAAACTAATTATGCAAATCAGAAAATTAATATGACCAGATTTGAGTGTAAAACTAATGAGGTCTGCACAATGTAACAGAAAATCTATGTCTCCAAGTTTAATTGAAATGTGATTAGAACCAAAAAATTATGAATTATTATGCTTATTAGGGAATTAATATGAACAGATTTTTACCCCAAACTAATTAGGTTTGTACATTGTCCTAGAGCAAAGTTTCATTGAAATGGAATAATTAGTACCGTGAAAACTCCAAAATTTCGACCCCTCTAAAAATTCGATCGCCTATTTATTTGCCGGGTTTCGGTGTTTTATTTACCTCCAAATTTTCGACTCCACTAAAAATTGCCGACTCATTCTTATTCGAAAATTGCGACCAGTTTTAGTTTTCCCCCAAACGAAAAAAAAAACGATGTGAGCGTTCAAACGGGACCTTCCTCAAAGGCATGAATCCGGGTTTCTGATTGACTGAGAGATTTTTATTTTATTGGTAACGAAAATATATTCTAAATAAACGAAGTTTCAAATAAAAACGAACACAAAAATCTCGGCATGCTGCGTTTCTGAATTGTTGATTATTACTGTACTCAGTAGTGATTATAATAATGTACACAAAATAAATTTGTTGAATGGTTATGAAATACAAATAAAAGTCAACTTAGTTTCATCGTAAGCGAATGATTCC